CCCTTTTGTTCTGTCAGCCTTTTCAACAGTGTAGTAATGAGTAGCCTGTATTAAATCCTCTCTGTCTGAAATATCTAGTAAGTTACCCATCATGAAGCCACTCAGAAGAAAAACTGATATTGGTAACCTGTTTAAATATAGAGATATACACATATGGGTGCATTGTATGTATATGTTACACTTAATATCCAAAAAGACTGCAATTGAAAATATGTTTTAAAGTTCACTGACAAGACCTCTTTTTGCCAAAACTTGTACAAAGACGCAATTGATCATTTAGTAATGAAACAAACAAATTAAAAGTGAAGGTAGCTGGATGGTGGTAGGTGAATGGGAGTGAGAACCTGTGTTTCATGAAGTGTATACTAACAGATACTGGCTTTAAAAATGTATTACTTGATTGGGTACAGCAGCTCATGCCTGTAATCCCAGCACTTTGGGAGGCCAAGGTGGGAGGATTGCTTAAGGCCAAAGAGATTGAGACCAGCCTGGGCAACATGGCAAATCTGTCTCTACCAAAAAAATTACAAAAGTCAGCCAAGCGTGGTGGTGTGTGCCTGTGGACCCAGCTGCTGGGGGCAGCGGGGGCAGGGAGCGGTTTGAGGTGAAGGATTGCTTGAGCCCTCAAGGCAGAGGTTGAGCCGAGATCGTTCTACTGCACTCCAGCCAGGGTGACAGAAAGACCTTGTCTCAAAAAAAAAAAAAAAAAATAATTACTTAATGTATTTTCTGAATAGTTTGAATAGGTATTTTCCAAAATGCATTCGCAAAACTCTGGTCTTAAGAAAAAAAAAAAGGGATTCTATGTTCATGTAAGTCTGGAATCTAGAGCGTATTTTCCTGTTTCTTTTGGCTAGTCACAAGGCTATTGGCATGTAAGCAGCTCTGACAGCTTGCAGTAAAGGTACCTGCTTCATTTTGTTTAAGTAAAATTTTCCAAAACTTAATGATGAGATATTTTTCCTGTTTATCAATAGTAAACTGACTTATTTTAGAACTTTTTATTGGCCAGGCATTTTGCAAGAAATATTTTCTTTAATTTACTGCTTAACATACACGCACACATAATTGTACTACCCTCCCTAAATAGATAGTGCTGGTTTTTGGATGAAAGGAAATGTAACAATGAACATTAAAAAATGTAAAAGATAAATATTTCATCACATATGATGCTTATCTCCTTACACGTTTCACTCTTTAGCATATTGCGTGACATGGTATTTGCCCCATAAACTGCATACCTGGACCATACCTCCGCTTTCCGTTGAAACTGCTCTCTGTAACCCTCATGTGGCAGGCAAGCAGTCCACACCAACGCCATCTTGGCCCCTGCACCGTTTTAAGACTTGTAATAAGTAACTAAGGTCTGTAATTTCCATCCTCCCCAGACAATGTGTAAACTAACACTTACCTTGACTTCTGTGAACCACTTAAGTAACAATCAGAATGTCCAAAGTCCCCTGGCCTTCGGAATGTCCGAAGCCCCTCGCCCCTACCCACGCCCAGGAGGTGGTTTACAGGCATAAAAGGTCTTGACACCCTCCTTTCAGGCCACGGGTTAGAGAGACGAGAGTCCTCTGTGGCCGCCAGCAACAAAGACCCTGTAATTCGGCCTAGTCTTCGTCTCAGTGGTGATTTCGTGCTCGCTCAGTTACAATTGCAATTAGTACTTTTATTTGATAAGCATTTCTGTATGCATAAATAGTGAGTATATGGCTTCCTTAGACAATGCTGGCAGCACAATATGATTGACAGCCCTACCCCAGAAACTGCTTTTCTTCGCAAAATGTCCAGGGATTAAAACACAGAAAGATGTAGGAGTAAGAATTTTTTTTTTTAGATGGAATTGCTCTGTTGCCCAGGCTGGAGGGCAGTGGTACCATCTCGGCTCACTGCAACCTGCTCCTGAATTCAAAGGATTCTCGTGCCTCAGATTCCCAAGTAGTTGGGATTATAGGCGTGCACCCCATGCCCAACTAACTTTTTTTATTTTTAGTGGAGATGGGGTTTCACCCACGTCGGCAAGGCTGATCTCAAACTCCTGACCTTAAGTGATCCACCTGCCTCAGCCTCTCAAAGGGATTATGGGGTGAGCCACCTCACCTGGCTGGAGTGAGGAATTCTTTTTATTTTTTGAAAGATGGAGTCCCACTCTGTCACCCAGGCTGAAGTGCAATGGCACGATCTCGGCTCACTGCAACCTTCACCTTTTGAATTCAACCTATTTTCATGCCTCAGTCTCCTGAGTAGCTGAGATTACAGGCACATGCCACCACGCTGGGCTAATTTTTGTATTTTTAGTAGAGATGGGTATTTCTGTATTTCACCATGTTAATCAGGCTGGTCTCAAACTCCTGACCTAGTGATCTTCCCTCCTCAGCCTTCCAAAGTGCTGGGATTATAGGCATGAGCCACTGCTCCCAGTCAAGGAATTCTTTAATGCTTTCTGCATTTATATTTATTTATTTTTATTTTTAATTTTTAAAAATATACTTTAAGTTCTGGGGCACATGTGCAGAACATGCAGGTTTGTTACATAGGTGTACATGTGCCATGATGGTTATGGTAGGTATTTCTCCTAATGCTATCCCTCCCCCAGACCCCCACCTCCCTACAGGCCCCAGTGTGTGTTGTTCCCCTCCTGTGTCCATGTGTTCTCATTGTTCAACTCCCACTTTTGAGTGAGAACAGGTGGTGTTTGAATTTCTGTTCTTGTGTCAGTTTGCTGAGAATGATAGCTTCCAGCTTCATCCATGTCCCTGCAAAGGACACGAACTCATCCTTTTTTACAGCTGCATAATATTTCATGGTGTATATGTGTCACATTTTCTTTATCCAGTCTATCATTGATGGGCATTTGGATTGGTTCCAAGTCTTTGCTATTGTGAACAGTGTCACAATAAACATACATGTACATCCACATTTATAGTTAAATGCAACACTGACCTTAACCTGATAAGTAAAAATAACAAAAGTCCTCAAATAAATTTAAGAAAGCATAGCATATGGCTTTGTGCCTTGAGCTGCAGAATAATAACTGGAGTAATATTAAGTTGGTGCAAAATTAAAAGTAATTACAAAAATCGCAATTACTTTTGCACCAACATAATGCAATGTTCTGTGTGCCAAATGGCCTCCTGAGTGTGGAGGGAACCTGAGACAGCCTCCATGCACATCCCAGGAATCCTTTATATTTCAAGTGAAAGGTGTAGAACTATGGCTTATGGAAAAGATTGCTTGCTTCTTTTTTTTCTTTTTAATTGGCTGTGAAAGAAAGGATCTTTTAAAAAATTTCTGTTTGTTCATGTGCAAACGGGCTTCAGCATACCTGCAGCTCCAGAGATGCAAGCATAACTCAGAATTTGAGTCTGGATGATTCTTAATAGGAGCCATGATTTAGGTGTGACTGAAAATTCCCAATCTGTTTTTCCAAGACAGGCTGATGACGGCTGCTGGCCAGCACTCCAGCTGGCCTGGCAGAGCCTGCTGTGTCCCATCCTGTTTCCTTCCCTTTGAATGGGCCTTTGAAATGCCCAGCTAACAGCTGCTGGAGGCAGAAAGGCCTGGAAGAAACAGGCGGCTTCACGTGTGTCACAGTGGTCCCAGCCCCAACAACTGGCCATCCGGCTGGGAGAAGGATAGTGGGGTCAGAAAGACAAAAACAGGGAGGAGAGGGGAAAAGGAAGCAAAAATGACAAGGTGGGAGTTGGTGGCAGAGGAAAGGCTGAAGGTGGGGACAGCCTGGATTTTTTTGACATCATTTAGCATGAGTGAATTAAGAGAACTCACAGAGATGTTTAGGTGCATAATAACTCTCTGTCTAAAATATGGCCACTTAGTTTCTTAGGTTGTGTGATCCTGCACTTCAGAGTTTGAAACCTGGTAAACTTTAACCAACTCGACCAGACTTAGACCACACACACCTTCCGGGTTTGGACATGAATTCTGTCTCAGTCCTCCTGGCAGGAGGGCTGAACAACCTAGAGAGCTTTGGTTTAGGATCCATGCCAAAGGCCTTGAGGGGGAAGCCAGAGAGCAAATCAAGAGGCAAAAACAGCATCACAACTCAGAGACTACAGGCTGGACAGGCACGGGCTTGTCAGGGTCCTGGCTGGTTCAACTTAACTCCAAGCATCTGTACCTGCCCCTTCACCTTGAATTCTGGCACCACTGATCCATTTCAGGTAAAGCCCCTGATGGGCAGGTGGGACACCTCTGGGGCTCCACGTGATTATGTGCCTCTCCCCAGCCTTGATGTGCTTTTACTACTGGTATATGTAACTCTTCTTTGGAGGACCGCTTTGGGTTGCTGTGGCCATTTGATCACATGGACGTGGAGAGTCGGAAATTCCTGGAACATTCCAGCCCTCAGCCAATGACTGAGTGGTGACTGGGTCTGGAACCTGGTTCCCTTGCTTAAGCTCTGGACAGACTTTGAGGCATAACTCACCCTCCAGAGCTCCCCTGCCAGAACAGATTAAAGCTACCTCTGTAGGATTTGCCTGAGATCAAAGCTTTCCCTGTCCTGCTTCCCAGTTCTCTTGCCAGTTTCCCTGGAAGCACTTCTTCTTTTTCTTTCTTTCTTTTTTTTTTTTTTTTGAGATGGAGTTTTGCTCTTGTTGCCCAGGCTTGAGTTCAACGGCGTGATCTTGGTTTACCGCAACCTCCACCATTCGGGTTTAAGTGATTGAACCTGCTTCAGCTTCCCAAGTAGCTGGGATTACAGGCATGTGCCACCACTCCCAGCTAATTTCGTAGTTTTAGTAGAGACAGTTTTCTCCATGTTGGTCAGGCTGGTCTTGAACTCCCAACCTCAGGTGATCTGCCCACTTCAACCTCCCCAAGTGCTGGGATTACAGGCATGTGGAAGCACTTCTCTAATAAATCATTTGCTCCTGAATTCTCCTGTCAGCATCTGCTTCAGGGGAACCCAACCTAAGACAGACAGTTTTTAAAATCCTGGTATCCCTGAGAGAACAGTGCCTTATGATAGTAACAGGTCAGCTCTGATCTTTTAATAATAGCAGTGCCAGCAAAGAGCTGGCGTTGACAAAACCGAACTCAATATTGGTGAGTTTCTTCTCTCTCTGGAGAGTCTCCCTGGTGTGGGGCGCTCTCCGGGAACAGCCCAAGGCTTTTAGGGCTTTGTGGATCAGAGGCTGAGAGGAGCATCCTGGAGCTGAGGGAAGCTTTGCGAGGGGCTGCCTTTGCCCAGTGGGGTGGAGCCCCAAGCACATCTCTGCAGAGAGGAGGGGCTCTGTCAGTTATCTGCAGACAGCTAGGGTCCTAGGCTATGGTTACAAAACAGAAGAGCAGCCCATATTTCTGGCAACTTTTTACCATTACTCCAATCTGATAAGAATGAAAATGCAAATTAGGAGAAATTCAAGGCTGAATTATTTTGTTAATTTTTGCAGTGTTTTCCACTATCTTACAGTCATAGCCTATAGCAGTAATGCAAAAAATCCTTTTAGTAAAACAAATGCTTTTAGCAAATGGTCTGTTCCTCTAGGCACACAGGTGTTTTGTTCTTAGCTATATGATTATTGCTCTTATATATATATATGAGACATAAACACATCACATATGATGACATTTTATACATATATGTATATGTGTTATACATATATATAAGTTATATATAAGCATTTATATACACATATAACTTTTACATATATAAAAATATCACTTTTATATATATAAAAGTTATATGTGTGTAAATGGTTTTTATATATATTATATATGTAAAAGTTATATGTGTATATATATGTTGGAATGTGTATATACATGTTGGTAT